GCTGATTTCCCCCCCCCCCCCCCCAAACATCGACTGGAGAGAACCATCGTCCTCCTCGAACTCCCGCGGATTTGCATATCCCAGAACGAGCCAAGAGAAGAGTCGGCACTACGATCGTAAACACAGACATCGCCACACCGACGAATCCCGACAGCCGTAAAATCGCATGACGCAAACTCGTCATGCCTGGGTTCGTGCTCGAGACCCCTTATGACAGACGAGCAAGTGGGTAAGAGGTACCCCGCGTTTCGTTTCTTCCAGCTGCGAAGCGTTTTCGGGAGTGTTTTTAAGACATGATCGTCGTCATTAATCTGGCACGTGAGGAGCTCATTTTCCGTGATTCCGAGCAGGTAATCAGCCGGTCCATCGTATACCTGAGGGTCTTCGCCCTCTCGGATTGCCTCTCGTCGAGTTCCTACCTGTTCGTCCTCGTCGTCTGCGAGGGCTGGAAGCGTCGCATCGGCGGATGGAACAGGAGCGAGGAATGGAATTACTCGTAAGCGAGAATTGAATTAAGCCGGGAGGATTGCTTTGAGACCTCATGCTGTCCCCTCGGCCGGGAAAAGAGATGAAGGAAAACAAAAAGAGAGAAGGAAACGAGTGGTGGGTGCGGTTCGGTGTGTCCGGCCAGCTTAGTGGACTCCATCACTGTCTCGCTCCGTGGGTGGTCCGGCAATTTAGAAGCCACATATATCACCGGGTCATTCGTTTCTTTCCCTCCTTTTCCTCTTTTTGGCGGCTTTGGATCGTCATCAGCTGTTGCGTCGACGCGGCAGGGATTCGGGTCATGAATCATGCGATCGGACATTTACCCAGAGGAGCCGGGGACGTGCTCGAGGAACGGGACGACGTCGTCTTGGGCACGGGGATCACATCCGGGCTCTGGTCGCTCAGGTGATTGTATGAGAATTCCTCGGACGAGGTGGGCGACTCGGGTTCTTCCCCCTTCTCCGGCGGCTTGACGGGGTGGAGTTCCACTTCCACTCGATTCATTTCACCTTGTTCACTCTCACTCTCACTGAGGTTCGTGACGCTGGTCTTCACTTCCCCGATCCCCCCGGGGGGGGAACCGTGTTGAAAGGAGACACTGAGGGAATCTCCCGTGGGAATCACCTCCAGCCCCAGTGCCATCGTGCTCTTATAGCCCTCTCGCCTGCATGCAAGACACGTGTTCGCAATCAATGAATGAAAGCAAACACACCGATTTGGCTCCGGAAAGGCCAAGGAAATCTTAAAGGCAACGAACCGGAAAGGAGTGCGATTGAGAGGAGCCAGTTCCCCGTCTCTGGAATTGAGCGATGACGTAGACTCTGGCTCTGCATCCACATCGAAATAGGTCACTTTCCCCGAAACATGAAACACGACCGAGAGCTCCAGCATGCATATAAAGCGGGACCGAACGAATCGCAATTACGAGGTGGGCGGAAACAGACCTTTCTTCCTTGCAGGTTTCTCGGGCCGTTTCGAGGTATACTCGTTCATGTACCCACCGGCCTCCTCCCCGGCTTCGTTCAGCAGCTTCTACGAGACCAGAATGCATGCCGCTCTCACTTTTCTCGTTCTTTAAGTGGGGGTCGGCCCGATCATCGAATTGAGACTGACGACGATTAAGGCCTGCTGATCCTCGAGGGTGTTGCGCAGCCTGTTGTGCACCGTCCGCGCCGACTGGATCCCCTTCAGGATCTCCTCGTCTTCCTCCGAGTCCCGTCGGGAACCCCGCGGGGGCTTCAGCGTCGCTCGCACTTTCTTGTCTTCCTTCCCGGTCGGGTTCTTCCGGAGCTGGATCAACTGGCGGGTCCCACGGTTTTGTGAGGATTCGAGAGCGCGGGGATCGGTCGGAATGCGACTTTTGTTTTAAGTGGGGATTTGAACTAATTTTCGTGACGAGTCGGATTCAGGGTCAGATTTCGCTTGAATCTTTTTGACGGGGACGAGGAAGGTACATTGATCCATGAGCATCGAGTCTTATACCTGAGAGCGACAAGGAATGGAGCCAAAGACGGACCAACGACCGAGATGTGATATATGGGCGCGATTTCGGAAAGAGAAATATGTAAATCAATATAACGAACGCTCGGGGATTTTTATCGCGCTCTTCTCGCCTTTTTCCCCTCTTCGAATCTCGATTCGCAAGAGAGACACCCAGATTCGCGTGCAAGATGCAGATACCTTGGGAAGAAAGACGAGGCAGAGAGTGGTAGATGAGCAGAATATGATGAAGAGGGCGATCATGATGAAAGCAGCATCCTGTTGATCCGAGAGAACGAAGGAAATCGGAGCCCCCAGCACGCACATGATCACCACGTTGTACACGCTCATCCCGATGTACTTGGAGTCGTTCAGCGCCGCGATGCTCACGTGCCGCGTCTCCCACGCCAAGAAGCACCCGAACACCTGATCGGCGATCAGCCGGACGTGCGATCAGCGATCAGCCGGGCGTGTGATCGACGAACGGACGCGTTATCAGCGATCGGTAAAACACCTGATCGGTCACAGACCGACCAATTGAGTTTTTATCTCCTCTCTGAGATTTTTATCTGGAAAAGGGTAGACTGTTTGGTCAATATTCTCTTTACTCTCCTCCTTTCTCATATCGTACTGTTCTGTGTTACGGAGAATTTCATATCCTGTTGACCTGCAATGACTCAGTCGATGTAATGCGTGCGTTTGCGAGGCGAGACTCAAAGCAGGCCGCGTACGAGGTCTACTCAATAATGCACAGGAAACGGCAGCGGTTGCATTAATCTATCTTATGTATTATGGTTACCATGAGAAGCCCTTTGTAGCCGTAGATACAGGACACGAAAACGGTCATGTGTACGCTCTTGCAGTACTCGTTCTCCGGTACGATTTCCCTGTCCTTGTCTGATGGATCGATCTGGCGAAGAAAAGGGGAAGGAAAAAAAAGACCGTAAGTCATTGAAGGACCCTCGAGATTCCATTTTATTGACTCGGGAGTCGGTTTTCATCTCTCCTTACGTATGCACCGAGCTGTTTCGTGTCCCGAGTGAAGGGGTCCACGATCTGCCACGTGGTCATGATGGCGATATCGATGGCCAGCAACACCCCGACCACCATGAACAGCTGATAGTCCTTGATCACCTGCAACAGCGACAGTCGATGGGCGTCCTGACTGACAAATGGGCAATCTCCCCGCACGAGTGATCTTGAGGGAATTCCCGAGGAAAGGGGTGGATGAGGCCAAATTTCCAGGTCTTCATTCCGCTCCGAGGCAATCTCATTTCAGAATGTAACGGTAAAGTGGAAGGAGAAGAAGCTGTGGATGTTTGCTCTATCTCATTGGGTGCACTGGGAAAATATTTGCCCCTCTTGACTCCCCGCATACAGAAAAGGGCTTGGGAGATCCCCGGAGGATCAGGGGGAGAGGGACTTCTTCCACGGTTGTCACTCACTTCCTCGGTTCTTTCCCCGTCCCAGAGAAAATCCTTTTTACGGCCGGAAGAAGCCCGAGAAGCGCCCACGAACGAGGGGAAATTCGAGACTCGGGGAAACACGACGCGAAAAGCAAGGTTAGGGGAATGGAATAAGAGGAAGAGACCTCTGTCTTTCCCTGCCATTCCCCTGCCAAGTAATCAGTTTGGCACCCGGACGAAGAACAAAGGAGATCCAACCGCGTCATACCCGAAGCATCGTTCGCCCCTGAGGAAAAAGGCAAGAACACACACAAAAAAATTCCGTATCTCGTCGTGGCGACTTCCAACCCGATGGCTTTCTTATCTCCATTTCACACTCATTTCTTCCGAAGGAAAGCGAGAGGAAAATACCACGATCCACTGGGAAAAAAAATAAACGAAACCAGGAAAGAAGAATGCGCCTGCATGAATTTTCCCTCTCGTCCTTGAGAGCGCATTGATTTTTAAATTTGCGGCCGTATCGAGTCGTGACGTCAGGGAGTCAACAAAGGAAGATGGCATCGACATGACACACGGCATCAATTATTCACATCTTCACCCCTCTTCCCTGCCTTTGTAGCCACCTCCCATCTCAACAGACCTTTTTATTGAGTTTGATGTCCGTGAAGATGGCATGCACCCGCCAGGTCTTGGAGAACATCGACCCAAAGGCGAGCGTGAACCCCGCCATGAGGAACCACGCCCGCGCCGTGCAGATGTACGGGAACGAGTGGACGCTCGTCAGCTGGCTGTCCAGTCCGAGGAAGATCACGCTCGAGTATGTCAGGATGCAGCCCAGGATGATCAGGTTGTTCAGGTAGGGGCTGGACATCTTGATGTACCTGCAGGAGGGGTCAACGATAACCAGACTGAGAGCGATTTCCTCCAGCTGCGAACGGCGAAAAATATGCTTCGTGACTGGGAACGGAGATAGGTCGTAAAAGCCCGGAAGACTTCGTCATAAAGTTCCATCTTCTCCCGCTGGGACTAAATGGAACTACGAACTGGGGGGGGTTCTTATTGGCTTTGCCTGGCGAAATCCGAAATTTCCATCTCCACATGCATAATATGGAGGGGAATTGAGGGTTGGGCTCGTTGGCCCGTGAAATTGGGACAGCCACTTTCAGTAGAGACGCACGCCTTATTCATATAAACCGGCCGGTTCCGTCTCGCTACCTCTGCGCCTTTCTTCTATTTATACGCGCCGAGGATTCAACGGGGGGACCCCCGCATCGTGGAGAAAATATCGAAGCGCAGCTTCAGCCGACCGTTTCGTCAACTCCCCCCTCCCCCTTCTTGACAGCTCGGCTCTTCGATTAAAATTCCTTCTCCGTTCTTCCTCGTCTCGATATCCGCCGAAAAGATCCAAGCGCGCCACTTCCCAGAGGCGCATCACATTGCAATGATCGCCTTCCCGAAGCCGATCGGACGGCCGGGATCCTCGATGGGAAAGAGAGAGGAGGGCGAGAGACATTTTTGCCCTTCTGCTTCGATGCCCCTCTTCCAATGGAGAGATGGAAGAGAAAGGAGATATAAGGAAGAGAGGGAAAGGGTCGAAGAAGGATCATCGAGCGATTCCCCCCGTTCTCTCATCATCTCCCCTTTCTTCCTCTTCCGTCTCGAGAGTCCCTACATTTCCCTCGATATTACCCTACCTCCTCGAGGCACATTAGTGAAGTTCCACTCGGGGTATAATGAAGGAGGAAGGCATACGGTTACAGACCCTTACATCGACTACAGATGTCTCTGCTTCTCCCGGGGATTCCCCCAAGGACGAATGCGAAAACTCGCTTCCCGCTTACGCGACGAAATCTCACCTTTGATGCCGGTACTTGGTGTTGACAGCCAGGAAGTAGCACGCCATGACGATCCCGAGGCAAGCGATGACGACGAGAACGGAATAGATCGTGATGTTGACCCTCGTCGGCACGATGATCTTGAGCGTCCGGTCCCTCGGTGGCTTCCCGTGCCGCCACAACAGCGTCCCCTCCCCCCGGCTCAGGTCCAGCGTCTCGGTCCGACCGTCCCACTCCCCCACCTTCACTTCGTGGTCCTCTGTCGACGACAATCGAGCATTGCTTCCATCGTCACATATATCGTCGGCTGAGCGTCCGCGAATCGTTTTCAGCGAGACCGGCTCTTTATGTAGATTTTCCGAGAATCCAGTATCCATTTGGAAAATATTAATATATCAGGCAGAAGTGGAAAAACGAGGAAATTTCCTCCTTAATATGAAACCCATGTTTACAGTACTTCACTCGACAACCGGGCCGCTACAGATCTCCGTCAAAGAGACAACTCTCCAGTGTAGATACAGAGAAATGCCTCGAAAGAGTCTCAGGCAGGCCTGGCATCGGCAGGTCGTGACAAGCCCATTTCCCATTCCTCCTCGCAGGGGAATGCATCTCCCAGAAATGCAACGGTCAATCCTCTGTCTTCAATCGTGACGAGTCGAAATGGAACGAGCGCTCGAGATGAATCCATGGATGAACCATCGATCCGAGAGGGAAAAAAAATAATTCTCGGTATTTTTCCGCCAATGGCTGAGAGATCTGCTCATCATAGGAGGAAATAGCAAGGAAATAGCTACGATCGTGCCTTATATGAGCAGTAAAAATCGTAGAGGAGTCTTTTCCTTTACCCGACAAACTTCCTCTCTCACAGGAAATGCGAAAATGAACCCCTGAATTAGTGAATTGCTTCCCTTCCCCAAAGCCATTGACTCCTCTTTTCATTCGTAATATTTTCAGGAATTCACGGAGGACGTGCAAGGGGATTTGCGTCGTGTTCTGCGGAACGAACCCAGCAAAAACTAAGAATCCGACTTGGACAAATGGACTCGTCTCGACCTGCGAGTCTTCCTTTTCAGGTTTCTCTGCAGCACGTCCAAAAATTAAGCGGGAAAATGCTAAATCGAAGCCTCAGAACTCTCTTGGACTATCCTTTCCTTAAACGATAATACTTCCCGAGAAGTATTATCGAAGTCCGGGGGCACAGCGACTAAAGGCTGCCTCCTTCTCTCTCTCATCTTCCCCTCCCCCATCCCCTCCCCCATCCCCTCTCCCATCTTTCCCTCTCCCTTCCCATCTCCTCTCCCATTTTTCTCTCTTGCCATCTCCTCTCCCCCTTCTCATCTCCTCTCCCCCTTCTCATCTCCTCTCCCATCTTCCCCTCCCCCCCCATCTCCTCTCCCATCTTCCCCTCTGCTCTAACCCTCCCCACACACTTTCTCGGAGCGCATCCGTGATTTTCTACGAAATAAATACAAATGAAGAAGGCCTTCTCCGTCCTAACATGCATTTATGGTCTTAACAACCCGGTGCCTACAGTAAAAAAAAAAAAATTAACTTAATTACTTGAAGTGAAAGACGAAAAACGAATGAGTAATGAAGTAAAGCTCAGCCTAATGCATGGGCGTATCTGCTTTGTGTTAAAGACTGCAGGATCCATTTCGTTGCGTGAGGGAAGATGAATTACTTTGCCTTGGCAATCATTTTATAAGGTGGGTTCTTAAATTAATAATAAAATCGATGTAACATACTTGAGCATTCTTTAAGATCACATCCTTTTTTTAAATAAACCCCGGGCATAATAAATGCCTCGAAATGTGAATCTTCATGTTTCAGAGCTGATTAGTCAGAAAAACCCTAGGAAATCCTGTAACGTGAGTGGATATTCCGGATTCTTTCCCGGATCATGACTCGACCGGGCACAAGTTCACGGGTGAATTCGTGACCCTCTGCCACTGCGAACTCGCCACGTCCCCATCACATGAGAATGTCCTCTCTCTCATCACAGGAGCGTTCAACACTTCTTTTCGGATCGGATTGAAGAGGTGGATGGCTCTTTAAATTTAATTTGCACGGCCGTCTCCGGGAGAACACTTTCTATGCAGCCCCTACATACGCGGCGTATAAGGAGCTCCCTTCTCTCGGATCCATTCATCGATCGACGCGGAACTGTGAGCCTCTGCATGTAATACGGCGTTCGGTGTGTGTCCACCTTTCGAACGATACGGGGCAGAATCTACACAGAAGGCCTGGTTGACCTTCAGCTCGAAACAGAGAAAGCATTTCGAATTTTCACTCGAATGGATTGATCGAGGCGTTCCTCAATGTTGGTTATCGCTGTCGCCCAAGAAAATTTGAGAATCGCATAAAATCTTAATAAAAGCTCAATAGATGCGATAAAAACGACGAGGCTTACGTAAGAAAAGTATGAAAACCTCTCGCGAAACTTGATGCTTTGAGTTTCTGTCCAGATTTCCACGTTTCCCTCATCTCGCTTGAAATCGCATCAACTTGAAAACAGGGAACGAATTATGAGGCACCCTGTATTCCGAAGCACCTGGTGCATCGGTACACGACTCGCCCAATTGATTGACGACTGCGAGAGCAATCGAGGACCATCGCCTTCCTCGGCGACGATGACTCTGCCCCCCTTTTCCTTATTGACGTACTATTGTGTGTCCTGATCCTTGTACTACAGGCAGCACTCGTTTCGGACCGCTGTTTGCGTAATGTGGGTCTCCAGTAATAAAACGGGAACAAAGGGAGGTCGGAGCTCATCAAGTCTTAGGCCATATAGGCTTTGTAGCAAATTACGGATGGAAGTATATTATGGGCGAGACCACGCCGTGATGGATTTTTGTCACATGAGCGTGGGGTACATGATAGATTATAGGATCGCATGGCCCTCTAATGACACCTTCCGTAGAGAATGACGACGCTTTCTAGCCTTCTTCGAGTCGATTCCGGAGGAAATGGAGAAGGTATGTACCGGATCAAGATCGAGACCGGCTTAGAGACGCTATCTATCTCCACCTAATCCGATCAACATTTTAGCCACGGTCTGCCTTTGTTTAGTGAGAAAGAGAGAGGGAGAGAGAGGGAGAGAGAGAGAGATAGAGAGAGAAGAGAGAGAGAGACAGAGAGAGAACTGAGAGCGGGAAGGAACGAGATCAGGCCCCATGACATTACGCAGACTGTTGGCTTTCTCTTTCCCCCTCGACAAAGAAGCATTCATTATTTACGCCTCCATTTTCCTTGCTACTAGCATCCCCAAAAGGAGACAGAACGTCGTCTCCTTTTGAGTCAATGCAGCAAAAAAAATTTAATAGAGCAAAGACGACAGTTGAACGATGAAAAAGCAAGAATCTCATTATAAGACCCGGAAGAATCGATTTCCCTTCTTCCTTTCCCAGGTATTTCCCCTCGCATCAGAACATGCGTTCTGATGCAAAGGGGATCCGCCCTCCATAATGCCCCTCTCGTGACGAGACTCTCTCCATCGCGGAGATCATTTTTCTCACCTTGAAACTGCTTGATGACGATGAGTCCCTTCCGGCTGTTGTCGGTGAAGTTCACCAGCCCCTAGAGAGAAAAAAGACGTATTCTCCTTCATCCCTCAATTTTGCTTCTTCTATCGTTCCCATTCAGCGCTCATGTCTTCGAAAAAGAATATGGGAAAGAGGAGGGTTCTTTTACGGCCACATGAGCCAACTATCCATCAAGATCTCGTGATCGATGCAATCCAGCCGAGTAATAACCCTTGAAAAAACCTTTCCTGTTTTTTTCTTTTCCTCTCTTTTCTTCTCAGTGCTTCTCCAATAGCTCTCCCTCACCAAGGTCCCATACGTCGTCCCGTGCAGAAATGCCAAAGGGAAGAAAGGAAAGGGGATGGGAAGGGAAGGGGAAAGGAGGGGAAGGGAAGGGAAGGCGAGAGAAGGGAGAGATGCCAGGTCAGTTGTCACAGGAAGAGCAGAATGAATGGATCCTAAATGAATGGGAGTGGGAAAGAGTCCAGGTGCACGGGATCTCAAAGGGATTTTTTTCACATTCAATTACCGGCGAAAGCCTTCTGAGGGAAGGGACTTCCCCTTTCCTTCTTCAGGAGGTTCGTTGAAGTGGAAGAATCGAGACGGCAAACATGTTTTATGCAGGCGAAAAAGTCGCTCGGGAGAGAATTCGATTTAGTCCATTTTCGGGACGTTTGTCGATGACAAACTCGTTTTCTGACAGATGTCATTCACAATTATCTCGATATCTAATACATATAGACTATCGTGAGTGAGTGAGTCAATGGGTGAGTGACGCTAATACTAATCATGTTCCAGATATGATGGAGAGCATTCGTGTACTGATACTCAATGTTCTCACAGTTTTTTTCTTTCGGCAGAACGGACTGATAAGATAGATAAGCGAAATTTGGAACACGAGTACTTCTTGGGGTGCTAATTTTGCGAAAAGTTATTCTTCAAGGTACATCCCCTGGGAGCACATTCTTTCGCGGGGACGTTTTCCATTAAATTTTCTTGCACGAGCGAAACGGACAGATATGGAAAGCTGAAATTTGGGGAATAAGTAGTTCTAGGAATACTGATTTTAGATAAAATATACAATTGAAGTACGGCACACCTGGGGCCATTGCTGGGGGCATTGGACTGGAGAACCCCTAAATTTTTTCTCTTAAACAAGATCTATACAATTGTGTTAACCTCACGATGCCAGTGACGTCACATAACCTGAAGTAACTCCACATCACAATGCTAAATGACTAATATCCATGGAGTTCTTCCACTTTAGTTGGTGCTAGCGTCGAAGGCGCATTATTCAAAGGAATCAGTTCATTTTCATGAGCCGTAAAGGGCTGAAGGTTCTACCATTGCGATTTTTTATCGCCCAAAAACAAACTCATAAATCTAGAATAAACATAAAAAACTGGAAAGGATGCTGATAACTTACCGTGACGCCTTCGAATCGGAGTTCCTCGATGGCTTCCTGGAAGAGCTTCCCCCAGAAGGGACTCCGATAGGTGAAATCCTTGAGGGAGAGCAGCGACCTGCCATCCTTCGCGCTGAGTCGGAGGATCTTCTGGGTCACAGCGTGGATGACGAGGGCCAGGGCCCAGACCCCGTCGTAGGCGTAGCCGTGGAAGCGGCTGTACTCGCGGTGGCGCTCGCGGTGGTACTCCCTCTCGTACTCCATCGAGGTCTGTTATCCGTGTCGATATCATAAGGACAGGCTGTCGTTATCAGCAGCGTTCGATGCGGGAATCACGCAACCGTTCTTCCACTTCTCAATGGCAAAATGATTGTAATGGTTATTTGAAATAACTCCGATGATAATTCCGATTATTACGATATAATCAACAGCGAGTACTTGCGATACTCACGATTGCAGTACTCGCGATATACGACAGTGAGTTTCCAGAATTGGTGAACGTTACAAAATGAGCTGAATAAGAGGAGAGCTACGAATGATACAGGCCCGCATAAAATCATTCCGGCTGCATGATTCCTCTTATCACATTCGGGATGCAACTATGAATGGTGGGTCATGATTGATTACCCTTTGAGCAACGGTAATCATGTTGTCGGTCCGAAGTGGGAGAAGATCGGCGATGAAACAGCCATTAAGGGCTTCCAGGATTTCACTTCGAGTACAGGCGACCTCCCAATCTTTTTCTCCTTCCTTTTCCCACCATCGATCCCCATATAATCCGGCGATGATCCATTGGTAATTTCCGCCGTACAGACCCAGCTGGTACGCCTATCGAAAAAAGTATCTGAGACTCATATCGTCCTTGGGGACGAAATTGATGTAACTGGTAAAAAGTGAAAATACTTAAGACTTATGATAAATTCACGGATTCGAGTGAAATAGCCTGGAATAAAATTTTCTTTTGATAAAACTGATACCTGACAGAAGACACGGCGTGCGAAGGTTTCATTGAAGCTTCCAATGATGATGCGAATGTCTTTGTTCTTATCGCGGAGTTTCAGCAGCGCCGTTGCGACGTCGTTGACGAAGCCCTGGCTCTCGGCAACCTCAAAGCCATAGCTATCCAATATCACTTCCAGGTTATTTGCGGCCTGGAACGAAAAAGGGAGAAAAATAGAGCGAGCAAAGCACTGAGATATGGCATCTCATTTGCATATGTTTTCTTATACCCGAGGAACTCTTCCGTGTGATCCGGATCTCTTCATTCCCTGGAATTGCGTCTCATATTTCCTCATTGCAGAGGATCAGAGAAAGAAGAAGAAAGTAGCCGGTGAGAGGAATAATTTAGAACCTTCATATACTATTCTTTGGTTTTTTGAGCAGCGCAGGAAGCAACAGTGTCCTATGGGAACAGTCGGTGGTGATGGAGAAGGATGCCTTTCATCTCCTCCGGCGAGATAAGAAACATCCATTTCCTCCTCCAAGGTTTCCATTCATCCCGAATAGACCCGCCCCCCCCCCCCCCCCCCAAATCCCGCAAGTTTGGCTGGCCCTATCTCTCATTGGGGACTATTGGACCCATGCGTCATCACAGAATCTAAACAACATGAGGTCTCGATTTCTTCCCCCTCTCGTCTTTTATGGACTGTGTCGAGGAAGATCGGCCTTTTTATTATCCAATCCCCCTTCTTCCCCATTTACTCGCAATGGCAACTGACTCCAAACTTCCTCCTACTCCATCCTTCCAAAACCCATTAGTGGAATACAATTTTTTTTTTTTTTTTGGGGGGGGGGNTGGTGGGGGGGGGGGGGGAAAAAAGAAAAAAAAAAGGGACCATATCTCTGAGACGAAACTTAAATTATGGCGGACAAGGCAGGCATTAGCGGGCGCTAATGAGGCATTGTCTGATCATTAAGGTACCATTAAACCGAAAGCTTTCTATAATTGCAGTCGTATCATTAAATAATCTGTCTCCTCGTGTCGAGAACAAGGGCGTCTCATTCGCCCGCTCTCATCACATGGTCTCACCCTTTAGAAGCACTGTAGACAGAACGTGCTTATCTCTCATTCTTATCTACATCAGTAGATCTCTCTGTCTCTGTCTCTGTCTCATTTCATCCCGCTATTAATGGCCTTGGACATAAACCGTAGACAGGTACATCGATCTATCACAGACCCAGCTTTAGCTTTGTTTCATGGAGCGTCTAATTCATAGCCGGAAGATTACATAGACCCATTGTCTGGACTGTAATTGCCTGGCACAAACGAGGAATTGCAAGCATCAAGAGGACGGATATACCGTTTGAGAACTAGTTGAATATCGTTCCCATGCACCCAAATGAGACATGCGAGATGATTATTCCACCTTTGAGGAGTTTCGAATCGATGAAGGCCGGCTCCAAATAAAGGGGGAGGGAATACGATCTGATGTCACGCGAGATGGGACATAAAACAGGGGATAAAGACTAACAAACAGGGGGTAAAGACTAACAAGGAAGTCTTGACTTAATGGTCCGGAATGGAGCCACAGAGAGACACAATGGCGCAGGATTCGAGTGCATCAATATTTCATCCCCATTCCATGAGAACTGCTATAATTCGCCTTTGACAGGGACATGCAACCAGTCAGCTACTTTTCCCAGACACCGGATTGACATCATCATGAATTAATTCTCGAGTAAATTGCTAATGCTTCCACGACCTTGGCGGATACACTCGTACGTTGCACTAGGACTTTCCTCATAGAGAAAGTGAAAAATTCAGACTCCATTCCCAATAAACAGAGGGAAAGAGTTATGGGAGGTATGGGACAAAGGGATTTCCGATCGATCCGACTGATGAATGCACGTCTGATTAAGCGCCGCAGGAGATCCATCACCCGTATTTAAATGTCAGGGATTGACAAATCTCATCCATCCCGGGCGAGTCCCTCCGGTGCCTCCCTTCATATTTTACACTATTATTGGCGAAATGATCTATTGGCTAAACGATCGCCTTCGGTGTGACAGCTGGCTTTATTGGAAAGAAGGTTCTCCACATCCCGGGAATTGGCCTCTTATCTCTATTTGGGGCAAGTCTGCCCTTGCCAATCGGCGAAAAGAATCGAAGCATCCCCAGAGAATTATTCCAAGGGAAAAGAAGTTGCACGAAGCCCAGTACGACGGCCGTCCTTTCTTCACTCGAGTTGTATCTGATTTCTCATTTAGAGAAATAGGATACAAACACGGATGCAATATTTTTTTTAGAAATACAGATACAATTACACGGATAATCAGAAATCGGAACAGGGTAAGGGAAGACAGGATAGACGGCGAGAAAGGGTCGGCAGATTGGTTTGGTAAGCATATTATACAGGTTGAACACACACACGAGAAAAATAAGGCGCTTAAATTCACAGGAGATGGACTAGAATCCTCCGAGGGACTGTGGATTTGGAGACATCAACTCTTAATCAAATAAGGGTGGAAAATGCCTTCAATCAATCACTTGGTTAACGCGACCGCAACTGATCATAGCTGCTGTAAAAAAAAATCTCGAAGAGATAGCATCTCACTTTTTAAAGAGGAAATCTTCTGTGAATGCCACAGATTCTGGCGAAAGGTATTCGGATAAACTTTCTATTGAAGTATCACGAGAGTGTTAATCAGGCTTTTTCCATGGCCAAACGTCTGGCGTTTTCCAGCAGCATAGTGCCATACGCATATTAGACTTGATAGAGCTTGAAATAGGACCACTGAACAATCCTAATTTGCATCTCTTCGGTTGAGCAGTTTTGGGAACGCTTCAAGAACAAAATTACAGGAAGAATCTTCGGGATTTTCAAATTGAAAAGGGCTCTTCGCCAGTGTCGGTCGCGTTTGGCAAATGCTCTTGAATAATTCTCATCAATTGCTTCGTAAGAGAGTTTCATTAGCATCGTTCTGCAGTGGTGCCTAGCTCACTCTTCTGAAAAATTAATGAACAGCTGTGCTTGGCAAGGGGGGAAAGGTTGTCGCTGAAAAATAACGAATAAGGAGAGTGGCGAAAATTAGCTGAATTTCGAGCCGATAGGATTCCCTCTGGGGCTGTTTTCGTTGCTCTCAGGGGCTCAATGTAGTTTCTTCTCATGCAAGACAGATAAGATGAAGGCTTGTTCTTCGAAAGAGAGCACTCGGGAAGATAAACTTCTTTCTCAAGGTTTTTTTTCTTCCCCCGATAAGCAGATGTTCCTAATTTCCTCTCTCAAAAAGAGGGACATGCAAAAAATTATCGTAAAATCGTCGTAAAATTATCGTATCTGTTCATTCCTGGGCAATGGGTTATACGGCGCCACTATTTTTACGGGAAATGGCAGGCCTCTCCGTTCCTTCCATTAGGATCGTTGGGTTCTATTCAAAGAGAAAAGGTCTCGTTAATCACATTCATATTGATTGTCGAAGAGGAACGGGTGGAGCGTTCCAGAAATGCTTCTGCTCCTTATTTCTCTTCCTTAGAGGCAGAGACTCCGTGCGAACGTCAGCTGTTCACGCTGAATAAATGGAAGGAGGCAGTACTCCTTTTCCGGGGCATTCATCTTGGCCGCAGTTGTTTTCCCTTCGCCTTCCCCAGTCGATTTCTCAACCCGCCAGACCCGTTCCGATAGTCGTTTTTTTTCCGGCTCAATTCCTCGCGAGAAGGAGAAATATTGCAGTCCCGGGAACGGTCCTAATTCCCAACTTAGCCATCTCAATCAAGATCCAGTGGGGGCAATTCATCTGAGATCCTGAGTAACAAGCCTTTCTCGTTAGGTGGTAGGAATCGCCTCATAAAATTTATTTTCCATCTTCTTAATGATCCGGGGAAAAAAAGTCCGCTCTCTGAAAAGGTACTGAAGCCAAAAAAAAAACTAAAATTGTTGTGTACTTCATTCATATTAACTTCGAAGTAATGTGAAAACCAATTTTCAATGGCTTTCCCTATCAACTTCCCCCGCCTCTCTACGGGACTCACTAACGTTCGGCCAAGGCTTAACCAACAGACTGCCTTCTAGTCACGCCAAGGCCTACCTTTTTATTTTCAAAAGAAACTACAATTCTCGTCTTAAGGCACCAATTAGGCCTATAAGGGTGAATCGTGGTCTACGAGACATCTGGTTGAGGGCGTGTAACGTTAGGCCAATTGTAGGCCTATTCATACTAGCACGAACCATTTCAGAGAGGACGTGTAATGTAAGACCGATTGGAGGCCTGTTTCGCGTTTCATGAACCATTACAGTGGGACGTGGAACGTAAGGCCTATCTGGAATTCCTCGAACCATCTCGAATAGGTCTGAGGAGAGAGTGCCTTCAAGAAGAATGCAATCCATGGCACGCGCCATCCTGTTAATTCAGGGATGTCCGGATATATCTGCACAATTCCCACCATATCGATCAATAACTGCTAACCACGCTTCATTCTCAGCTCAACTCATGAACTCAGCACAAAAATGTCTCATACATTAAAAAACAGAAGATCTAGACGCCAATACGAAGGTTGAAACAGTCTTGAAACTTGCATAATTTCGGCATGGTATCCGGCAACACTGGGACGGTACAGGATGAAGCACTCTAAGCCTAATTGAACGACAGCTAATTTAATTTTTTTTGGCGGAATGGAGCATTGCAAACGACAAAAAAAACACTTTCCGTCAACTACGAGTCAATATCTTTCTTATGGTAGGTCTCTTTCCTCCGAAAACCCCTCAGGACTGGCTACCCAGGGGAGGAGAGAGAGAAGAAAAATCGAAATGATATTCACATCCTCCAAAAATGAGACTCGGTGTTCTCCACAACCCTGGGGAGATGGAGCTTCAAATTTGCAGGTGCGATTCTGTGGTGAGAGAGGAAGAAGTATGCCGAATTTCGTTCCTGTTGATTCTCTCAGAGAGGAATACGAGGAGGTTGAATTTTGCTGCGGGAAGGGGTGGAAGAAAAGTAATAGGCGCTACCGCTCCTATTGATTTATCAACTTTTTCCTGGACTTTTTTCGCAGTAAAGCCAGCTCGTCACAATGCAAATGCATTCGTCGATTCCAATATTTTTGCGATAGGAAATACGTATTTCTCGTAACAAGATTTAAGCAAATGAAACTCTAGATTCTTTTCCTGGCATGAAGTGCTTCAAAGGGAAGAGCTTCATTTTTCCACGAAGCACAAGACTCGCAGCTAATGATGACCGAAATTGCATTGCCTCCAGCGGGGAAACGGACGTCTCATTACCGACATTATTGACAGGACCTTCATTATTTCCTCACAGTTTCTCTGGGACCAGCTAATCCCAATGCAGTCGATCGACATGTCTTGAGAGGCAGTAATCGCACGCAAGGAATGCATGCACTGAGAGGAAAAAAAAAAGGAAAAAAAAAAGAAGAAAACATATAGGAAATCGAACCGGTGCACTAGGACAGAAAATAAATGCCACGGTCAGTGCCAGACATTCCCCACATCTGGGTCCTTCTCCCGCTCTCAATATTATAAGTAATTTTCTTTTTCTTATTCCCTTCCTTTCTCTCTCGTCCTCAATTGCCTGCACTATAGCGAGTTGAAAGGCTCTCGGGTAATGCGTCTCGTGGATCCCCCACAGACGAAACAGGAAAAACAATGGGGGGCGACTCACGAGAGCGAATCGAGGCTGATTCTGATAGAGAGTCCCGACCTTCGTCCAGTTGAAATGCTTCAGGAGTCCCAAGTGGGCGAAGTTGAACTCGGTCTCGCTCGGGACGATCCGGAAGAAATTCGGGTACTTGGCCTTGGAGAACATCGGGTGCGTGTCTGCGTACGACAACTGTGAAGATAGAAAATCATGCATCGTGTGGTTCGAGGGGCACGGCGTTTAAGATTGTCAAATCGCTTCTGATTGAAATGATTGTACAGTCCGCTTAATGGAATACCGCTTAATGGCATACTCCGCTTAATAGAATACCATTGCACGGTCCCGATTTACTATAGAGCAGATTGTTTCGGTTATTAAAATATTCGGGATTATAGAATAAAGTTTCCTGGTTCCGAGAGCATCCCGATATGCGGAGTCGACTGTAAATTTAATCTGATTGGCCTACTTTTTCAAGCACTTCACGGGGAGAGATAGAAAAAAGAATTAAGCAGAATTTGAAGGCAATGGATCCATTGCATCACGCACTTCAACGCTTCGAACTCGGACAACATGAACGTGCTGGTTTGGATTTCCTTCGAAGTCAGCAAAAAAAAGATGCGATTTAGTATCCTTATTGCAAAAAAAAAAATATCGGACTTTTTTTTTTCTAAGCCACCTTATTAAAAGGAGAGTCCTCATTGCCCCAACCAGTTTCATGAGGAAGCTTTGAAAAATGACCCTAGTGGATCGATGATCCCAGTGGACCTGCCTCGAGCACATGCGACAGTACCATTGATAAGCCTGAAATAGCATTGCTACTTTGGGTGCGAGCTATTTCGAGTATTCTGGGAAGTATTTCTACGGCCCGAGACATCAACACATTTATTCCGTCGGAATTAATGTATGCACGACAGATCCGTTGGAATTAATGTTATGATGCAGGCTCATATCTTAAATCTTCATGAAATCAAGTTCAATTAGGACATTCCTTGCAACGGAACGCTTCCCGGAACTCAACGGACAGCCACATGGACGAGGGGGTAAGGGAAAAACGTCTTGAGCTTATTTGAGGTACAGATGAATTAGTCGAAACGATGAGGATTGTTTCTGTCGATAAATAGTCGTGGTTGAGCGCATTTGGGAAGGGCCGCAAGACTCGGCCCTGGCCTAAATTTCGGTGAGTTAGTTCCTCGTACGCCAAAATTAGATCTTTGTACACTGTGTTAGGACTGAGCCCTCTTTTTTAAGCGTTTAATTAGTTTACTCTGTTATTTTTTTATGCTGAAGGAGTTGAGTATTTAAAGGACCGCCCTTAGGAAAACACAACGTACTCTCTGGAAAATACAACGTACATCGTTGAACATTGAGTTCAGTAACAAAATCCCAACTTTGTCACGTGACCTTTAGATTAATTGATAGTTATTGCTAAGGACAATCACTCTGGAAATCGCCTTCTCTTGGTAAAATCTTCGAGGTTTGCCTTGCGTTCCAAGGCATTCCAAATAGAGAGATTGTGTTCCAAAACGTCACAGGAAAGTTGAGTTCGTCCCTAAAATCAGTGTAAACACGATAGCCTTCCGAGACCCAAGCTCTTCCGAAAAGCTCTTCTTTGTTCCTCGCATGGTCCAAGGAAATTTAAATGGAGTTTGATCAATTTCCCTACTTCACGCAGATTATCGCACGACGAACAAAACGTCCACCTGTATCCACCTGTCCGGACAACCAGTTGGATAGGGAGCGGATATGGAACCAGGTGGACATCCCATCCGTGGAAATCCACCAAGCCACTCGCGCACGTGTATTTCGAGCCAGGTGGATTTTCTCCCGGGTGGACATCGCTCCAACAAGTGGAAATGCGAAATGCGCATGCACTTGGTTCCAAATCCATATGAGGAGTGGACGTTTTTAAGTGCAGATTTTCATCGATTTTCATGAAGAAATACGGATTTTCAGGCATAGACTTCTATAGCAGGGGTCCCAATATGCTTTCGCATTTCCGTCTATGCGGGTGAGAATATCGTCATCGATTTTCAAAGCATCATCATTTTGGGGGAGGAGAATAGCTCTTTCGGCAAATCCCGGCTTGGCACTTGCTCCGGGGTGAAGCTTTCTACAACTTAGGGATTTCGTTAAGAATTCTAATTTTTAATTACATTTTCTTCCAAGGTATCTGAATCTTTTAGCTCCCCATCTTCTTGTTTGATCAACTATTCTGACTACTTTCGCTCCAGGGAACGCACATTAACCTTTCTGTCTCAAATGACTGCATTAAAATGCTTGGTTGAGTCAGGGTAAGCAAAGATCTCAGTTAATAAGCTCTTTTATAATAAGCTCTTTAAGCAATCTGTCACACCCACTTCGCTTTATTACCTCACATACATTAAATAGTTTCCAAGACTGGTAATTTATACCGAGAATGGTGAGCACATCAATAAATTTCTCACAAGGCCAGATGAAGCCGATGCGTTTCGGTATGCCAACGCCACAAAAGTCAATGGATGAACTGTAAAAATAAAATAAAGTTGAAGAGGAGAAAGTCTAAAATGGCATTTTTGTTTTTTAGCACCATAGATTAAACAGTCGCATCTTTTATAAGCTGAGTCAAAATAGTTAAAGCCGATTCAATAGTAAAATTTATTGTTAGTGAAAGGAATGGGAATCTCTGAAGAGAAACTCATGAAGTGAACGTTAGGGAAATCGTTGACTTTGGCTTTATATGAGCAGGAGTTGTCCTTTCCCCACGAGACACGAAGTCAAAGAGTTCCCATTTTTGCATGCATGGGACGTGTAGAGTTGGTTAAATCCCTCTCCTGCTAGGATTAGAGATAGAGAGAAAGTTCATTTCAAAGGCAAGACTTTTTTCACCGAGGCGGTGCATTTTGTGCTATGTGACAGGATTATGTCGGGACCGCCCTTACAAAGCATCCACCTGCAACCATTGGGCTGAATGACGAGGTGGATAGGAGGTGGATTTGGAACCAGGTGGATTTCAATAAGGTGGAAATCCATACGCACACGTGTTCCTTACGCGCACGTGTCATACGCGCACGTGTTCCTTAAACCAGGTGGATCTTCTCCCTCGGGTGGATTTGAACCAGGTGGACATCGCTCCAACAGATGGAGATATGCCTAAGGGGATTTTCACCTGGTTCCAAATTCGCCTGGCAGTTTGACGTTTTTGTAAAGGCGACTTTGGAGGTTCAGTGGTCACACATGCCGTAAGCCACAAAAGACTTATATTATGTCAGCTGAAGAGCTAAAAGCAGAATTTCTGACTCGTAGAAGTAGACAATCCCTATTGAAGTTCTGTCGAAATTTCAATTTAACTGCAGCAGATGTCATTCAAGTTCGAACCATTCCCTCATGGGATTGAAAGCAGATGCGATCCCGGAGAAGCGTGAGGCATGAGAGGCGATTCTTTTCCATTGCCCGAGATCGTTGCGAACATTGGCACCAATAAAATTTGTCAGTAATCTATCGCTTTAATGTGACTATCCAGGTTATTCAACATGGTTTTCGACCACTCATTAAAAAATTCCGACATATACCCAGTTGAACCCACGGGTAGCACAATAACACTGCGACCTATCTTCACTTTTGATGCCAATAAGAGTATCGAAAACGTAAATTAGCAGGCCAATATCACTTTTTTTTGCGCAGGTTAAGCCATGGAAAAGAAGTTGTCTTGAACTTTAAGCACCATTTGCGCAAAAAGTTCAGCATTGTATTGATGATCAAAGCTTTCAGCTACGTGCTCTTCATATTTTTTTAATCAAAGCTGTAAGGGACTTTGGGGAGAACCAAACTTTCAAATTAATGCAAAGAGCTGCCAAATCTGACGAGGCATTTGAAAGATCTCGGTCTACGAGAGCGAATTTTCCTCTCTGTGTCATCTGCAAGTCAATTTCTTTCACTTGCAGCTTCTTGGCGTGTAGAATTGCAGCAGCATTTGCATCTCACCGCGTTCCATGGTACCCAAGGAGAAATGCCGACCTCAATTCTTGATCGACCTTAGCTGGTTCAAGGGATGATAAATTAATAACTCTTAAACAGAAAAATAATTACAGCAAGGAGAGCGTGGACTTTTGTCATTTCTAATATATGTCATTTCTAATTTTTTATGCAGTCCTAAAATCGATTTTTAAGGTCATCCTATTCAGGGCAAAGGTCAGCTATAAAAAAAAATTGCAAATAAACACGGACCATCTAAAAAAAAAAGGAATAGAGTTTGGAATAAGAGAATAAGATATCGATGAGAAAAATCGGTTGGGACACTTAGTAAGAGTTCTCTGGACAAAATCCTGTCGTACAGCCACCTGGACGTCGATATACAGCACAAGCTATACGTAGACTTGGGTACAATTACTTTCCTGAATAAAAATTTTGACTGTCATGTGCTCGTCTCACTGGTGAACTAGCTTCCTTAAGCCATCAGTACGGAATTCCAAGGGTATGGCAAGCCAAAGCGTCACGCAATGCCTGTGATACCTCGTCGCTGTGGAAAAGCCGTCCTCGAAGGGCGTCCTCCGACAGGGTAAACACATGGAAGTCACAGAGCTGACTGCGTGATGGATGGGGCACCGAGATCCGCCCTGAATAGTGGCACAAGTTTCGTGGGAGGGATGAGGTTCTTTGTCGTGTTGTGGGTGCACGCGACGTGTCAAAAGAACGTGTCGTTTGGTTCGACGTTTAGTTTCAATTTGCGCCGCATTTCCGAGTAAGACGCACGCGTCACAGTGGTGCAACTTGGTTGGGAGGACCGCGCCAATCCAGTAAAAAAATCGCTCTCATCACCTTGCTATTCAAAGGTGCAACTAGTCGACAGAACTGTCACTTTTAGTTTAAATAACATAAGTTAATTTTATTCAAACGGGATGGAATGAAGCCGAGGGATACCACTGCGAGGTACGAGTACCAACCTCATACTGACGTTGGGAACCAGAAAGTCGTGTCTATTGCAATATTTCTTTTACTTTTGGCTAATACCTCATATGGATGCTAAATTTTCCTATGTGAGTTTGATCTTTTCTTCAAATCTCACGTTAATTTAATGTAAGCTTTCGTTAAAATTCCATTTAAAAATAATTCTTACCACTAAGAACAGGAATTTAATTCGTGCTTGCTGTTGCGGAAAAATAATGTGAAACAAGGAAAAGGAAGGCCTCAAATGGCTTTTGAGATCATAGCAGAAAGAAGATCTTTGGAAAGATAAAGTGATTCTGCTAATGAGCTGAGATGCAGAGGTTTACAAAGGACAAAGATGAAGGATTCGGCGTCGTTAAGGCAGAAATACGCGCAGCCTACAAGACGGGCATCAGGCATTGGCTCGAGGTCGAGCGGGCATGTCGGCAACTCAGGCTCTTCGCTTTGTGGAATCACCCCCCCCCTTCCCTGAGCATCGCTTAGCATTTTCAAGTCTCCTGTTCGCATGGAAGTTTCACGAAGGCGCCAGAGCATGTAAGGACTGCTCGGAATTTGGGAAAAAAATAGAAACAACATAATAACTCCTCATGCATAATGCACCCTCTGCGACGAGGTAGGTCTATCTATTCTTCAAGAATACGTGCGTTCCATCACAAGATAATGACAGGTTTCGTCTTCCCTCCCCCCGATAGGAAAAGAAAATCCCAAAATAACAACGTCTTTGTCTTGAGCATGTCACGCTAGGGTTTTTCCCTTCCTTTTCTCAGCCTCGACTTCATGTTTCTCTTCTTTGTATTCACGGGGCTTCCGATTCCTTCTCCTTTGTCCGTGATTGGCAAGGCTTTCCCCCCCGAAAACTCGATTGTGACACCCGAGTGAGTTTTCAATCACTCCTGCAATTCTCGGGTGTAAAGGGGATGATAACCCCTGAGGTCAGTCGAATCCCTCGCCCAATCTTCATCTCCCGGAGAAAAGGAAAGAAAGGAAAACAAAGTGGCGGGGAAAAGAATGAAGACGAAGGAAGGAAAAAAAATCAGGGGGGAACAAAAAAAAAGTAATCTTCCGGCAGAGGCGAGAGGCCCTCAATTATCCAGCGGAGTCTTCCACGCCTCCAATATACGCCTACCACTTCTTTCTTATATGGGAACTTATTATATCCACTTATTATATCCAGGAGGGAGAGATGAAAGGCCTCACCTGCAGGATATGCCAGAATTTCGATGCCATGGCGATGGGGTCGGTGACGTGGGTGCAGGCGGCTCCGAATAGAGCCAGTTTCATCGGCGGCTGATGCATTGCGTCGAAGAAGGTCTTCGTCCCCCATGCTGTATTGCACTGGAAAGGACAAAGGACTGAGGGTAAGAAGGGAATTTTTGGTAAAATATTGAAATGTGGATAAATTTTCTGCTTGTGTGTAGTTTTTTTTTTGTTCCCATGATCATCAGCCTCAGCCGCGGTGAAATTGGGTATCGCTGCAAAATCAGATAAAATCCAGATAAAGACTAGATAAAGGCCGGATAAAGACAGCTTTTCCAACGATACGCAATTTGCCGTCATCGCTGCAAGCTAACAATCCAGGACTAAGAATGCAATATCGCAAGCTTAGAGAACGGGTAGCTCCAGCTGGGAAAGAAATCAGATAATGCATCTCCATGCTTAGGACTGAGTGGAATGGCTTCGGGCTGTTTGTCATGGAGACTCTTCGTGAGAGGGAAATCCTCTATGTCTTTTTTTAAAATGTCTTTTCCGTCACAAATCTGGGGAAGGGGAGGGGGAGCCCCACCCAATGTTTCAGAAAGAGAAAAGTCCCTTCACGATCGAAAATGATTATCGAATATTTCCTGATCCCATCATCACGAACCACCTCGAAATCGCTCTTTGACCTCTAATACTCCCGAGATTTCACGGACTCACTCGGAAACTCCGAGTCCAGGCAACTCGGACTCCGGAAAATCCGGATCCCCACCGCATACAACCTCTAAATTAATTAAGAACTTTTCCTTAGATTGCCATTCTGAGTAGATAATACATTTATTAAACTTATTATTGATTTAGAGTGATTGTCATCGGACCTTTTCACGGCAGGATTTTGGCGTCGAAGGGGCGAGGCGAATGCAATTAACCTTTCGAGCCGACTCCGCGTTTCCATGGCAACCGCCAAACTACCGTGAGCTGCTAAGTGATCTCTTTCATCTGGGATTCGTCTAATTGCGTCTGCGGGAAATTGACAAGACCGTCGCGTGAGATAGAAAAGGAAGATGCGAGAAGCCTCTGCAGTGTATTTATTTCTATCAATATAGATGTTTGTCATAAATAATGAAACGAATAAATAAATAATGATGAAGATTCCAGGGACAGCAACTCAAAAAAGGAGTGGGACGAGGCGACTCCACCTCATCTCGACGGTTCATAAAATTTTCATGGCAGCCGAAGGTCCTGGTCAGGGTTGACAGCGAGGGAAAAGTGGGGACGGTCAAAAGCGCATAAAAGGAAAATCGCATGCAAAATGTATAGCTCGAAACGCCGTGCATATAAAATCTGCGAAAAGAAAGCTTTAGGGTTTGACATCTGTGGGATTCTCGATTTTCTTCGAGGAGTTTAGTAAAGAAGAAATGAGGCTCAACCGCTTCTGACTGCGTCTTGGTGCCGAAAAATCATCTACATTTGCGAGAATAATAGTCATTTTCAGTCATAATATATTTTTAAAACTAAAAAAAAAAAACGCGGTAAAGTTTAAATCAATATAAAATTCCACAGCGAGCTGAAATTGACATGATCTTTTTGCATTTCAGACTGTCCCACACAAGGAAAAATTTTTTGATAAAACAAAAAAAAAAAAACGCGGTAAAGTTTAAATCAATATAAAATTCCACAGCGAGCTGAAATTGACATGATCTTTTTGCATTTCAGACTGTCCCACACAAGGAAAAATTTTTTGCCTGAAAATCGCGAAAGACCTTCCACTTTATTTGATGCTCCGTCACTCGCGTCAGTTTCAGCTGAACCCATTACGGCCTGGAATCGGGGATTTTCCATTATTTCCTTTGTCTTCGTTGCATCGTGTTCCCTGCTGGTTCGAGAGAAAAGATCGATCGAGACTTCAGAAGGTGCAATCTCAAAGAATAAGTTTTCTTCGTAGAACTATTTTTCGTGCATTGATCTTCTTTAATAATAGTGACAATAATGCACTTCGGTATTTAAAAAATAAAAAAATAAAATTAAAATTAAATTTAATTAATTATTTCCTAATACAAAATTAGGCCTACGTTTGATGCACTGGCAGTAATGGGTTGAGACGGAATGACGGAAACATTACTAAGGAAACATTCCATCCATTCAAAAATGTGATGTGAATTTGAGTAAAGGTTCTTATGAAATCCCAAAAATGTAAAATAAAGGACTCTGTGAGAGGAGTGCCGCGGAGTGGATCGGGTTGCATCCCGCAAGGCTCTTTCTCTTCTTCGGGGATTCGCTTGTATATCGCAGCCTTGCCCTTCATATCCCAGATTATTTCGCCTGAGTTATCATCTATGA